TTCCAGTACTCGAAGGGAGCGTACAAACAGGAGGGAGAATGGCTGTTGATGGGGTGGATAGTGACAGGACAAGGAGTGGTTTTCAACTGACACAGGGGAGGTTTAGGTTGGATCTGAGGAGGAAGTTTGTCACACAGAGGGAGGTGAGGCACTGGAACAGGTTGCCCAAGCAGGCTGTGGATGCCCCATCCCTGGAGGCATTCAAGGCCAGGCTGGACGTGGCTCTGGGCAGCCTGGTCTGCTGGTTGGCGACCCTGCACACAGCAGGGGGTTGAAAGCAGATGATCACTGTGGGCCTTTCCAACCCAGGCCATTCTACGATTCTTTAGCAAGAGATGGCTTGAGAAGGTGGATGCTAGTCCAGACATGGGGGCAGACCCCCCTTGTGGGACAGTGGGAACCAGCAGCTCCAAAAACAGGAATGGAGTGCCACTGGAGGGGCACTGCTGGACGAGGGCAGCACCCTGGTGGTACAGGACATGCTTTAGGTGGAAAGACTTCACCAGCACGGGCGGCCTTGAGAGAGCTGTGCCCAGTCTCGGGTGCCCAGCACATGGGGGTGTCGGAGGTACGGGAGAGCCCACAGAGGAGCACGGGGCTGAGCAAAGGGAGGCACGGCAGAAGAACACAGGGGACCCTGCTGACCTGGGCATAGGCTGCTTCCTCTGTTGGTATATTTCCTAATACTCAAGAACAGCCATGCCTGCTTTATGCTGCTTGACGATCTTCGCCTCTCTGTGAAGCACACATTTCCTTTCTAATAAAAAGGAGCTTAGGGCCACAAAATAGGAATGCAAAGTGAAAAACCCTTTTTGGATTTTTGAATGCATATTTCATTAAGCAGATTTGTTCTGAAAAGGATTTAGCTTCGATCAAAGGTTGATGAAAATCATAAAATCACCGAGTGCTTTGGCTTTGAAAGGACCTTCAAGATCTTTTAGCTCCAAAGGTCCTGCTATAGGCAAGGACTCCTCCCACTAAAGCAGGCTGCTCACAGCCCTCCAGCCTGGCCTTAAATGCTTCTGGGGAGAGGGCATCCACAACGATTCTGGGCAACTTGTTCCAGTGTTTCACCACCCTCACAGTAAAGAATTTCTTCCTAATATCTAGTCTGAATATACCAGTTTAAAACCATTTCCTCTTGTCCTGTCGCTACATACCTATAAAAAAGTCCTGCGCCAGCTTTCCTGCAGGTCCCCTTCAAGTATGGACAAGCTGCCAAGATCCCCCTGAAACTTTCCTTCAGTTGAGGGGCACCAAGTCTTTCAGCCTGTCCTCATACAAAAGGTGCTCCTGAGAGCCTTCTCATTAGATCAGCTCATAAAGTGCTTTGAAAGTCTCCTGAAAGAAGGAAATTGACTGAATCGTGCATCCATAGCTACGCATGCGCAATGGGGGGGTCTTTGCTCTGCCCTGGCTCCTATGGGTACGTAATCACTGCATTGAGTCTCATGTGCTGTCCAAGCTGGGTTCAGAAGCACACAGTTTTCTCCCTGCGGATGCCATTTGTACAGGCAAGCCGCGAGGGCCTGAATGCTGATGGCGTTCCTCTGCAGAACCTGCCCTGAGGGTCACCAAAGAGGACCCTCGGTCCCTGCTTATTGCCCATCTGATAGCAGGGAAGGAGGCTGTGGGAAGGACACCCTGCATGCACACCAAGGTGTTCCGAGTGCTGGCAAAAGGTGGGCGCTCCTCAGGGACCAGACAGCTATTTATTTTTATCATGCACATAACACTGCCCCAGGCACCATGCCGCAAGAAACCAATGTCAGCTTCCCAAATCAATGTCAGCTTCCCAAACCGACGTCAGCTTTCTAAACCAATGTCAGCTTCCCAAACCAATGTCAGCTTTCTAAACCAATGTCAGCTTCCCAAACCAATGTCAGCTTCCCAAACCAATGTCAGCTTTCTAAACCAATGTCAGCTTCCCAAACCAATGTCAGCTTTCTAAACCAATGTCAGCTTCCCAAACCAATGTCAGCTTCCCAAACCAATGTCAGCTTTCTAAACCAATGTCAGCTTCCCAAACCAATGTCAGCTTCCCAAACCAATGTCAGCTTCCCAAACCAATGTCAGCTTTCTAAACCAATGTCAGCTTCCCAAACCAATGTCAGCTTCCCAAACCAATGTCAGCTTTCTAAACCAATGTCAGCTTCCCAAACCAATGTCAGCTTTCTAAACCAATGTCAGCTTCCCAAACCAATGTCAGCTTCCCAAACCAATGTCAGCTTCCCAAACCAATGTCAGCTTTCTAAACCGATGTCAGCTTCCCAAACCAATGTCAGCTTCCCAAACCAATGTCAGCTTCCCAAACCAATGTCAGCTTTCTAAACCAATGTCAGCTTCCCAAACCAATGTCAGCTTTCTAAACCAATGTCAGCTTCCCAAACCAATGTCAGCTTCCCAAACCAATGTCAGCTTTCTAAACCAATGTCAGCTTCCCAAACCAATGTCAGCTTTCTAAACCAATGTCAGCTTCCCAAACCAATGTCAGCTTCCCAAACCAATGTCAGCTTCCCAAACCAATGTCAGCTTTCTAAACCGATGTCAGCTTCCCAAACCAATGTCAGCTTCCCAAACCAATGTCAGCTTCCCAAACCAATGTCAGCTTTCTAAACCAATGTCAGCTTCCCAAACCAATGTCAGCTTTCTAAACCAATGTCAGCTTCCCAAACCAATGTCAGCTTTCTAAACTATCGCTTGTTTCGGAGCTGCCTCGCTCTCAGCTGCCGGCAGCCCGACGCAGGTGCCGCTGGGAGGCGAGCAGCCGGCCGCAAGGAGCACTTCCACTCTCCGTGCCCCGTGGCGCTACAGGAGACGCCCGCCCGGCCCCGCCTCTTCCGGTTTCCCTTGGTTCTGTTTCCGGGTCCTTTTCCGGTTTTCTTTCAGGTCTCCTTCCGGTTGCGTGCCGGAAGCTCTGCGCGGCAGTGTTGGCTGTTGGTGCGGGGCCCGTTTCGGAGTGGTGCGCAGACTGTGCGGTCAGGCGCACCCCCAGCAGGATCGCTGATGACACTGAGTGGTGCAGGTGGGACAACACAAGGAAGGGATGCCATCCAGATGGACCTGGACAAGCTTGAATGTGGTCCCATGCAAATCTAACCATGTTCGACAGGGCTCAGTGCATTGTGTTGAACTTGCAGTGGGACAATCCCCGATGTGTGCACAGATGGGTGAAGAACCAGAGAGCAGCACTGTGGAGAAGGACCGGGGGGTCCTGGTGTGTGTAAAGCCAAACGTGAGCCAGCAGCATGTGCTCAAAGCCTAGAAGGCCAGCAGTGACCTGGGCTGCATCAGCAGAAGGCGGGCAGCAGGGGGGGGACTGTCTGTGTCTGTTCTGCTCTTGTGAGGCCCCATGTGCAGTACTGTGAGCAGGCCTGGTGCCCCCAGCACAAGGAGGATGTGGGGCTGTTGGAGCAAGTCCAAGAGGAGGCCATGAAGATGTTCAGAGAGCTGGAGCACCTCTCCTCTAAAGAAGGGCTGAGAGAGCTGGGCTTGTTCAGCCTGGAGAAGATGAGGCTCCTGGGAGACCACACTGTGGCCTTCCAGAACTTGAGGGGAGTTTATAAGCAGAAGCGGGACTGTTTACATTGTCTGATAGTGATAGGACAAGGGGAAAAGTTTAAAAGAGGGGAAATACAGGTAAGGAGGAAATTCTTTATTCAGATGGCAATGAGGCCCTGGCAGAGGGTGTGTGCACCCATCCCTGGTGGGCTGGGCTGGGTGGACCCTGGGCAGTCTGAGCTGGTGGGGGTGACCTGCTCATGGCAGGAAACTGGCAATGATTGATCTTTAACATCCCCTCCAGCCTACGTTGTTCTGCGATGCTACGATCCCTCAGGTGACCTATGCAGCCACAGCTTTCAGGGCCCACTACAGCCCGAAATTTTGCGAGTCACTCCCCAGCATCACACAGGAAATCATAGTCATAGAATCACAGAATCTCCAAGGTTGGAAAAGACCCACAGGATCACCCAGTCCAATCCACCCATCACCAATAGTTCTCACCACACCACATCCCTCAACACAAAATCCAAACATACCTTGAACACCTCCAAGGTTGGTGACTCCACCACCTCCCTGGGCAGCCCATTCCAGTGCCTGATCTCTCTTTCAGAGAAGTATTTTCTGACGTCCAGCCTGAATCTCCCCTGATGCAGCTTGAAGCCATTCCCTCTAGTTCTATCACCAGTTACACGAGAGAAGAGGCCAACCCCCAGCTCACTGCAACCTCCCTTCAGGTAGTTACAGAGGGCAGAAAGGTCTCTCCTGAGCCTCCTCTTCTCCAAACTGAACAATCCCAGCTCCTTCAGCCGCTCCTCATCAGCCCTGTGCTGCAGACCCCTCACTAGCTTTGTCATCCTTCTTTGAACTCGTGCCAGGGCCTCAATGTCTTGCTTGCAGTGAGGAGCCCAAAACTGGACACTATTCGAGGTGCGGCCTCACCAGAGCTGAGTACAGCGGGACAATCACTGCCCTGTTCCTGCTGGTAACACTGTTCCTGATACAAGCCAGGATGCCATTGGCCTTCTTGGCCACCCAGGCACACTGTTTCAGCTGAGCATCAATCAGTGCCTCCAGGTCCATTTCCTCTACGCAGTCCTCCAGCCACTCCGCCCCAACCCTGTAGCATTGCTGGGGTTGTTGTGGCCAAAGTGCAGGACCTGGCATTTGGCCTTGTTGAAGCTCATCCCATTGGCCTCAGCCCAGCTCTCCAGCCTGTCCAGATCCCTCTGTAGGGCCTCGCTACCCCCAGGCAGATCCACACTTCCAGCCAACTTGGTATCATCTGCAAACTTACCGAGGGTTGCACTCAACGCCCTCATCCAGGGCATCAATAAAGATATTGAAGAGGACAGGCCCCAAAAATCCCGGACGACCGCTCAGCACCGCCGCCCCAGTCCTCTGCTATAAGACCGCACACGGCGCCCACCGGCGGGGAGAGCGGCGGGGTGTGCTCCGCGCCTCCTGTCTGCTCAGGGCGGCGGCCACGGGGCGAACGGATGGCCGGGACCGGGTCCGGTCCCCCCTCCCAGCCGCGTCGCTGCCCGGTGTGCGCCGCGCTCCGCCCCGGGGGTGGTGGCGGCAAGGGCGCCGGGAAGCGCGCGGAGCCGGCGGCGGCCGGAGCGGTAAGGGGAGCCCGCCCGGCCCGGCCCGCTCGGCGCGGGGCGCTGCGGGAGCGCACCGGGGCGGGGCAGCGCCGGGAGGGGCCGTGCTCGGCGGCTCCGCTCCCTCGGGGGCGCCGGCGGCGCCGGGGAGTCCCGGGGGGCGGCCGCGGCGCGGTTCGCGCGGAGGGGCTCGGCGGCCGTGGGGCCGCGGCTCCCCTCCGGGCCCGATCTCGGCCGGGGGCGGCGCGGTGCGGGGGGCCGGGCGGGGCGCAGCGGATCGCCGCGCTGCCTCCAGGGCTCGGCGGGGCCGCAGGGCCGGGCGCGTTCCCCGAGCTCGCCGTCGGGGCGCCCCGCCGGCCGGGCCGAGCGTGCCTCGGTGCGACGGGGTGGCCGCTCCTCGCTAAGGGGCGACGCCGCCGGGCCGCGGTACGGGCCGGGCTCGCCCCGCTCCGGCCCCGCGGAACGGCGGAGCGGGAGGAGAGGTGGGTGCGGAGCGGGCGGCCTCGGCGCTGGGGCGGGCGCTGCCTGCCGGCCCGCTGGGACGTACAGCGCGTCCTGCCGGCCGGGGCTGCGGCCTTACCGCCGGCGCGTTCGTGGCGGGGGCGGTTCGGGTTCGTCTCGTCCCGGCCTTACAGCTCCCGGCATCGAGCGCGCCAGGCGCGTTTAAAGCGCTCCTTCTGCAGGGAGTGCGTGCGGTACCGCAGCGGCAAGGGGTGCTTCTGGTCAGCCCTGCGCCTCGCTCGGTCTTGTGCGGGGCGAGCGGGTAAACCGGCTGTGCCTATTGAAAAGCTGTCTGCGTTTCAATCTCTTGTTGAAACTTCACCAAGTGACCGGTAAATGCGTTTCCGTGCTGCTGCTACAGATCAGCACGTCCTCTTGCCACGTTGCTGGTAGGATTTGTTTTTATCTGCCTTTGCAAAATTAAGGAATTTCCCCTGCCTCACGCTCTCCTTCAGCTGGACTGCTCATGAAGTGGTGCTGTAACAAGAGCAGGAGCTGTCTGAAAAGCGACCTGCCAAACACCCTTTTCTCTTTCCCCCAAGCTAGATCCCTTGCCCAGCTGATGGCGTTGTCGCAAAAACAGTTGTGATGGCCCAGGGCCCGGAGCAAGCAGCCGGCTGGGAGACGGGCTGGTAAGAGCTGCTGAGGATAGCAGTCCTCTGAGCACATCTCAGGGCTGTCTTCGACTGAAATCATTCTTACGATTTGTACTTCACTCATACCGACTAAGAGTGTTTCAAATTAAATATTGCCAGGCTGTTAATGTTTCCCTAAAGGCTGATTCTGTTTGGAGGATGAACTGACGTGACACATTTTAGGGTGTTCAAAGGTAGTTAAGTTAATGTGAAAAGAACAGTGTAGATACCTAATCAGTTTTAGTGTTGCTGATGTATCCTTGTGGTTTTCTTTGAGGGTGCGAAAGGGTTATTATAATACATCAGCAATACTGGGGTTTCCATTGCAGTATCGTGGGGAGTGAATTTCAGTGGTGATAGCAGGCAGGCATAAAGGACTGGCATTGTTCTGGGTGTATGGCACTGACCAAATCAATATTGTGTGCAGGTTGGGGAGTCATACAGTTCAAGTTGGAGACTGGTGGAACAGTACAGTGAGTTGCTCCGAGGCTGGAAAAATTGCCCCATGGTGAGAGGTGTGAGATCTTAGAGAGCTCTAAGTATTTTTAATAGAAAATTATTGACAGACCCCTGAATGATACCATGTAAGGGGAAAAGAAAACAAAAAATGAAAAAGACCCTGATGCTGATACTTGGGAGAGAAAGGCTTACAAAAAATCAGTAGCTGCAAATGGCTTCCATCTCTGTGGTGGATGAGTAAGAAATGGAACAAATGTCCCTTGGAAAGCGGCAGATTTTTGTAGCCTGGTGTTTTCAAATCAAGACTAAGTCTCTTCCTGGAAGAGTCCACAATGATGGCCAGATTTTGTGCTTGTCGCTGTGTACTAAATGGAACTAAACTAAAATGGAATGCAGTGAACTGGTGGTCTATTACAATCCCAGTTAGTTGGAATTTGTACTACAATGTTGTGTTATTTTAAGGTCCTGAGCGATAGGAATGTATTGGGTTTCACAGGAATTTGTCAGCAGAGTTGGCCACAGACCCTCAAAGTCCCAGGTCATTATCTTTATTGCTTATAATACATTTAAGTAACTCTTGTTTTTTTTTTTCCCAAGTATTACATTATCAGAATATATGATCACAGAAGAAAGGCATGCAGGTAGCAAGGGGCACTTGAGTCTGCAGTTATCGTAATAAACAACAGTGCAAGAGCAAAGGTGTTCCTGATGTTACGAGCATAGCAGAGTTGTTAAAAGGAAATGCTGATTTGGTAATGACATTGAATGTCAGATTCCTTGTGAACCTGGAAGAATCAAAGCCTAAAGATAACAGCATGTTGGTGTGTTAGGGCTGATTCCAAAAGGCCACACTGCAGAGCAGCAAAACCTCGGTAGCTAACAGTGTGCTTCACACACAATTACACGATGGGAAATGCATTTCTGGGGCTGAACTCATTTTTGGTTTGCTAACTTTTGTGCTTTTGCTTTAAGGCTAGGACTGAGAGATCTTTGCAAACTGGTTGAAAACTCTTTATAAACTTCGGGGGCACTTAAGCGTGTGAAGGGAAAAACTTGGAATTGGTCTATTTTGCAGCAGATATATGAACTCAACACATCTGAACTGAAGTCCTTTAAAATTGGTATCTCAATTCTCTTAAATATAGTTGTGGGCAGGCTAAAAGTTGTAAATACTGACAGTGTGGGTGTCACTAAAACTGGGAGATGAGCTCAGGAGCTGGAGAGATGCTCTGAAAGATGCTTGGGGTCTCAGTGTTTAGCATGAGGCAACAGCTGCCTTAGCCTGGGTGCTTGGATCAAGACTAGTAAAGGCTGCCAGCCTTTCTCTTCTTAGTACCTTTTTGCTTAAGTGTTTTGAGGGATAAATCTACTTAAGTGCTATGCTTAGGGTGACATTATAGGAGAGTTTGCAGTCTGCAGGCTTCATTTCAGCAGCCCGGTAACTTATGTCCATCATGACTGATCACAGTTAGGCCTGTTTTGGTGTTTTTTTCCAGCAGAAAATTTAAACTTGAACCCCAAACTTTGTCCCTATGCTGGAAATAATACCTCACATCACTTACTTTGCTAGAATAGGTGCACCTTAATGCAGCATGCTTGAATGTTTTCTTTTAATATGCTCACATTTGGGCATTTGAAGCTGATAAAACGCAGTGCACGTTAGTAGGATTCATACTTTCTTACTGGGTAAACAAGCATTTGATCCCAGAGATGTTGCTCAGAGTGTAAGTGAAGTGATTTTGTCAGAACTGCATGAACTGTACAGCTTGGAGCTTCTCACTGAACATGCTGAACTTTGAGTCTCCATAACAGGTTGCAAGAACAGGTTTGGCCAGAGCTTGTCAGCTTGTGAACCCCTGGTGTCACAGCAGGGGACATTTAGGATTAGATGTTTGAGCTTGGTGTTAACTTCAGAAGGCATTCCAGTATTTCCAGAGTAGAGAAAGTGATTCTCAAGTGCAGCAGCATGTAGTATTACCTAGGATGTCTCCCTTACGTAGTAGGTTGTCAGCGTTTGTACCGATGGCAAACTGGACTGGTAAGTCTGCTTCTGTTTCTTCTGTGACAGGTGACTTCTGATACAACCAGACACTTAAGGGAAGGATTCATAAAGAGAAGCCTGGAAAGACTAAAGCTGCAAGAACAGGAGTTGAAAAAAAGGAAAGAGAAAAAAAAAAAAGGGGGAGGGAAAAAGAGAAGAGGGTTGAAAGGTGAGGCTGTACTTTAGAGAATGTCCATCAGCTGTCTCTTCAGATTTGTTACACTATTTCATACCAAGTGGCATCCAAGAAGGGAGTTGCCAACTGTAAAAACCCAGGCTTTGAGGAAACAGGAATCCAAGAACTCAAACCAGTGCCTTATAGTTTTTAATTTGTGTTACTGTGGGAAAGAGAAGCAACCTATCTCAGTGTGTAGGGCGTCAGATGGAGTCTGTTACGAGAGAGTGGTTGGACTAGAGACATTCTGAGGTCCTTTCAGACTTGACCATTCTATGCTTCTGTGGACCTGGAGTGAAATCTGAGAGCTGTTGCCCTCAGATTGCACCAAAGCTTAAGATTCTGCATGAGGTTGTTTTCTTGTATTGTTTATATATTTACTTCTATTATTCTATGCTGCAGCATCACAAATCACTGTCTTTGTGGTGTGAAGTAGAGTTAATGTGACAGACACTTCTAGGTGCCTCCCACTTGACTGTAAGGTTCAAAGCTAGGAATGAGCTTTGTTTTTCTGCCTTTCCTTCCACCCTTTTTTACTTGTTGGTTTTTTTTTCATTGTTATCTTTAGGGCAGTGGTTTTGAATTTTGTATGTGAGTAACAGTAGCATATAAAAGCTTAGATGCTGTGGCTAGTCTGCTTGTATTGCATCCTACATTGTCACTGGTAATTAACCATGTTACACACCTCCATGTCTAAAGAAAAGCAAAGAAAAGAAAACCAACAAAAACAAAAAGACACCCTGAATTTTAGAATGCTGTGGCACTTCTGTGGCACAAATAGAACTTGGTCAGGTTGGATGGGGCTCTGAGCACCTGGTGAAGCTGTAGGTGTCCCCGCTCACTGCAGAGGGGTTGGACCAGACGCCTTTGAAGGTCCCTTCTGACTGACATGATTCTGTGATTCTAACATCGTGTATAAAATGTTGGATCTCTGAAAACGTTGCTACGCTTCTGTTTTTAATTGAGTATCTTCTTACTCAAATGCTTTAAAGATAGGAATTTTAAATACTTGTGTGAACACTTTGTTCCTTGAGTTTTCTGGAGTTTTCTTATCATATCATGTTGGTTGTTTAGTAGATCTGTTTTCTACAGGACAAGGTTTCAAAAAAGCAGTGGCAGCTTCATCTTGAATTTTGATTGGTCATTGAATCATTGAATTTTTATAACAATGGAAGTGGTCTTGTAACTCTTAATGTCACCCTCATGCTAATCTGTAGGGGAGCTTTGTTAAGGGAAGAATTAGATCCATATGCTCTGTCTCTGATTGTGTCCTTGGAGACAAAAGATGATGTGAGTCTGTCTTCATGGCAGTGTGTATAAAGAAAACCCTAGAATACAAACCATCAGAAGAGGTAAATGCAGAACCACTGTGTTCTAAATGTGTGCATCGGTTGGACGCATGTCATCAACATGTGTTGTTTCTTTAAACATGTTATTATTGTAACAACCATCATTTCTTATTAGTCAAATGTGGGTTCTTGGTGACAGGTTGCTTATTATTAGCAGTTCAAAGTCTGACATCCAATTTCCCAGGACTCCAAGTGTAAAACAAGCGTCATCTAAATTGTCCCATATTGATAATTACCTAGAAAAAAACGTGATGATGAACAAAAAGTTCAAGAGAGAAAAAAGAAAGCTAAGCTCAAGAAGAGAGGAGAGGCAGATAGATGGAGATGAAAAGCATCCCCAAAAGCAGCACAAAGTACCAGCTGAAGAACAGCAGTGGCCAGAGAATGTGCCTGAATGGGAAGAAAGGAAATCCCTGCTAGCTCAGAGAAGAGCGGAGTCTGTCAGACTGCTTACAGTGCTGTTAAACCATGTGAAAGTAAGAATACTTTAAAACGTATTTTACAATTTGAAGGATGTTTGTTAGAGCTTGAATAATTTGGTAGACGTTTGGTGTCTTATTGCTGTTTGAAAGAATGTCTTAGGAGTGACTGAACACTGAGAAGGCCTGAGGTCTAAATCTTGTGACAGTTTGTCCTTGGAGCAAAGGTGGTGTGATTCTACTCAGAAACTTGGATACTTGTTTGAAGCCTTGTCATTATTCTGTCAAGATAGGGCTGGAAGGACTGCATCAACTCGTATTAGACTTGATCCAACACTGCAAACAGGGAAATTAAGGGTGGGAATGTAAAATTGATGTTTGGCCTCATGTCTGCAAGTGAAAGAATTAAGTCCCTATGGATTACGCTGATTTCATTTCCAATAGCTTCTGTGTTGTGGCCAACACTAAGCTGTAAGTTTCATTTGATTGACTTAGATAATATCTTGAGAAAGTCAGCAGAGGAGTGGTACACACTGCAGTGTCATACACAGAAATTCATGTTTGGAGGCTTATTTTAGTGCTTTGGGGTGAAAAAGTTTGAAATCTTCGGGGTGCAAACGTGACATTTTCTACATCATTTGCTACATAAAAATTAGCTCGCAGCTTTTAACAAGTCGATTTTTCAACGTTTAAGATTTTTAAAGGTCCACCATTCACTAAGAGTTAATTGCCATTCTGTGTGAATTTTAGGGCTCCACAGCACCTGATGTTGGCATTAATTACATAGGTTGCTCAGAAAGTAATGCCTCCCGTTTATTTCCATGAAAGCTACAACAGACAGAAAGAGCATGATGACACTATTTTATGGAGCAGATTTTCAGCTGCGTATCACTGATTTTCAACGTGACCTGATTCATGCAGATGAGCTGATCAAGATGTTCTTTGTTTCGTGGTGTGACAGCTGTGCATGGCCATCCAGAACATGGTTTGTCTTTCATTTCGCTGTCACCACTGCTGAAATGCACCACCCAGCCCTCACTGCACTGACATCCACTGTTTGGTCTCCATCAGTGTTCACCAAGCCTTGATGAATGTCAGTGGGTCCCATTTTTTTCTGCGTGGAGGAATTCAGTTCCACCCCATTGCTTTATCCACACTGCCGTGTCAGTGTTCTGTCTCTGCTGCCATCTGTCACACGGCCACACACTGTAACAGGACATTGGTGGGAAGGTTCAGCCTCTACTGCCATACCACCAGAATCCTCCTCTGATTTTGTGGGCCAACAGGATAACATAGGAGGCATTACTTTTGGAGCAGCCCGTGCGTGAATTTGATGAGTTAAATGTTTATTTTCTTGGTTTCAACACATGGGAAGCATTAGATTGGTTGTATTTGGACCCATTAAAACTATGTACAGTAAAATAATTAGTCTAAATAAAATATTCTTATCTACAAAAATCTAGCAATTTTTCTATTGTAAACAACACTGGTTGTGATGCAGTAATCAAACAATAAATGTTGTCTGAAGCAATTGTAGGGAGGTAGAGGAATTAGTTGGAAGGACAACTGTCTTAGTTACTTTAGAATGCCCTGTTCTGACACAAAGAGGCAGCTTTAGTTCTGGGCTAGGAGTAGTGAGACTGTGTGATCAAGCTCTGAATTAAGCTAAATTTATCTCCTTTATAATTTTCTGAATGTAGAACTGCATATTTATGAGTTTGCAACTTGCAGTCTTTATAGTTCTCTGTGCTCAATAAACGTACATAATCGTTTTCCCAATTTTCATTTGAAGGATTTTGTGCAGTTGGCAAGTCAGAAAGTGGATCCTTCACCGGGCGTAAGGAAGAATGATTCCTCTTCTGAAGCAGCATTAAAAGCCATACATCAGAAACAGATCAACTCCTGTTACCTTATGCACAAAGATTTGGAACACAAGGAGGAGCTTCAGTGTCAGTTAACCCAAAAAAGTAGCAGCTTATGTTGTGAGGAAGGAGATTTGACTGCCTTCTGTGCATCTACTTCTCATATAGTCAAGACAATTTTAAATGACCCCGCTGCAGCTCTGAGTTCTGGCAGATGGACTGGCAGAGATGCATCCAGCTCCTTTGGCTGTGGATCTTTACTGATCACAGTGACTCAAGACTGCAAGGTCATTGAATCTCTAGATGGAAGGGACTGCCAAACACTGAACGTGGTTCACCCGCAGATGGGGTCTGAAGATGGTTACAGAAAGCAAAAGGTTTATGAGACCGATGAATTCATTCATTATTTACTAAACTACTATCAGACACCAAGCTATGAACGTGTTTCCCTAGGGACAAAAAACTCTGCAAACAAATCCTGGTGGAAGAGGGTGGTGTGTGATGATGACAGTGGTTTTCACATCAGCTTGTGTAACAGGCAGGGTCGGCACTTCAGAGAAGTGAGTCTTGTACAAAATCTCAACAGCAGAAATTGCGTTGGTGATGATAACTGTAGACTAGTGATCACTGCTGGGGAATTTGAATCAACAGACACAGCGTTGAAAAATAAGACTTGTGCAGATAGGCCTGCAAGGAAGCTGCAAATACAGAGGAATGACACACTCACTGTTGATTACTTATCACATGCTGAACCAAATCATTCTTTGGATTGCACTGCTGCTGCTCGTGATGAGGAATTTGAACAAGAAGATGGTAGAAATGAAGTTACCAAACAGTGCAAAACTTGTAGATCTTACCAGTTACAGGACTTGTTGGAAGAGATCAGTGATTCTGAGTACTTCAGTGAGGCATGCAGCGGTGCAATGAAGAGTGCAGAAAGGAGTGAACAAATTGACAGCAATTGTAACAGAGGGTGCTTGCCTGCAAGAGAGAAAGAGAGAAAATTACTGGTTTATTTCAAGAATGTTACTCTGGAAGGTCAAACAAAGGAAAGCAGCAAATGCAACTTCTGTTCTAGTTCTGCCCATGAGGGCTTGGCTAGGCAGTGTGATCATAACCTTGAAAAGTCATGCAAGAGGTCTAGCAGTGAATTAAGACATAAAGGACAGAAAAGTGAGAGACATTTCAGGGAAGAGGAGAGAAACACTTACAAAACGAAGAAAAAGAGGAAAAAGCTTTCTTCTGATTTTTTATCTGATGAATGTGGCTTTTCAGAGACCGAGAGTTGCATACAGCTGGAGTCACTCAGAAAGATAGAAAGAAGATGTAATAAAGCATTCCACAACAAAGTGAAATTCAAGACACTTCACGCAGGCACAGCAGCACCAGGCATTGCTGCTTCTGACTGCTTTCCACTTCAGGAGACACTCCGGCACACAGGTGAGAGAGAGGTAAATCAGAGCTGAGGTGAATGCAGTTGATAGTCGTAGTTCTCTGGCAGGTGAGATTAATTGCACAGTTCTCAGTGACGGGCGGTAAGTGTTTGTAAAAGCTTAACAGAGTGTGCAAAGGGTACAAAAAGGCTGTGACTGCACTGCTGCTAAAGGTTTTGTCAGTTCAGCTCAGAAACACTTGGAGCAGCTGCAGTTGGAGTCTCTTAATTGGGTAAAATGTTGGTAGGTAGGTGGTTATTCTGTTAATAAATGCTGGCAGATAGGTGGTTATTCTGTTGATAACAACATGCATGCTGATGACTCCACGTGCTCTCGAACAATTCAGAGTTGTGAGGCGGCTCAGTATGCAGTGCATCTGTGTGGGAGGTGCTGTCTCAAGTCAATGGATTTCAGTTTAGGTGGCCATCTGATTTCCATACGCAGTTGCTGCATCTCTGAATAATGTTATTCACAGTCTTTTCTCAATGTACGATGCTTACAAGTTGGCTGGCAGCTACCTAACAGCCACCTCCTCATATCTTCCCCTCCTTCCCCCTTCACAGACTAATTTCAAGTAACTTTCTCATATACTTATCTACAGGAGATGAGAGGAAATTAATATTGAGAAGAGAGATGGATGCAGATGAAAGAGGATGCCCTCTCTTTCCTCTTGAGATAATTCAAACAAATCCCTGCTCAGATACTTTCTGTGGAGCAGAGCCCAGAAGAGGATGCTGAACAGCTACTATATAATAGCTCTTAAGCTCCTTTTAGAAGTGGAAGAAGAAAGCCCTTTAGCCGTTAAAAGGTATTGGAAGTACTTGGGCTTTTTTTCCTTAGGTAATTCCTTCAGTTAGAATGGTCTAACTGGTGTAGCAAGCCACAGAAACAGAATCTCTATTTACCTTTTGGATGCAAGGACCAAAATTTTCTCCAGGGCCAGACAAGCTTTTGTGGACCAGTTGCTCAGAATTTGAAGATTTATGGATTCAGATCTCAGAGATAAACTCTGATTGATATTTACACAATTCCCTACGTTTACAGATACAGCATTTAGTAATATCAAGTCCCTAGAAAAACAACAACCACATAAATATATAAATCATAGAGCAAGGATATGAAGTGCCTTCTCGATCAGATGGTTAAAATGATGGAATTGGAAGCTGTGGGGGACATTTATATGTAATGGTGGAGAATAATAGATTTCTAAATAAGAAAAAAATATATACTGTAATGTTCACAGTGGAAAAATACTTGTTTATTATTCACAGTTCTGAAAGTGTTTCTGAAAACCTGCTGGTCTTTGGAAGGAAGGATTTCACAATAACTGCTAGATGTAGCGCTTCTGAGAATCTGATTTTCTAAGCACAGCTCTGAATGTTGGACAGTGAAAGAGCAACGTCTGTCAGCATGTTGACAGCTCACACTTAGCAGGTTGAAAATACCATAGAATCATAAAGTCAAAGCGTGGCTTGGGTTGGAAGAGACCTTAAAGCCCCCCCCAGCCCCAGCCATGTGGCGGGCTGCCTGCCCACCCAGCTCAGCCTGCCTAGGGCCACCCAGCCCAGCCTGGGGCACCTCCAGGGATGGGTGCACACAGCTCTGGGCAGCGCCAGGGCCTCACCGCCTACTGCATAAAGAATTTCAGCCCAACATCTAATCTAAGTCCCCCTTGTTTTAGTTTAAAAACATTCTCCCTTGCCTCCTTACACAGTCGCTATCAGACCATGTAAAAAGCTGGTCCCACTCCTGCTTATAAACTCCCCTCAAGTTCTGGGAGGCCGCAGTGCAATCTCCCTGGAGATCTCTCCAGGCTGAACAAGCCCAGCTCCCTCAGCCCTTCTTACAGGAGAGGTGCTGCAGCCCTGTGAGCATCTTCACAGCCTCCTCTGGACCCACTCCAACAGTCCCACATCCTCCTTGTGCTGGGGGCACCAGGCCTGCTCACAGTACTGCACATGGGGCCTCACGAGGGCAGAGCAGATGCAGACAGTCCCCCCCCTGCTGCCCGCCTTCTGCTGATGCAGCCCAGGTCACTGTTGCCCTTCTAGGCTGCGAGCACACACTGCTGGCTCATGCCTAGTTTTTCACCCTCCAGGACCCCCAGGTCCTTCTCTGCAGGGCCGTTCTCAAGGAGTTTTTCTCCCACTCGGTGCACATATCTGGGATTGCCCCACTGCAAGTTCAACACCTTGCACTTGGCCTTGTTGAACATGGTTAGGTTTTCATGGATCCACTTTTCAAGCCTGTCCAGGTCTGTCTGGATGGCATCCCTTCCCTCCAGTATGTCACCCTGCCCTGCTCAGCTTGGTGTCATCACCAAACTTGCTGAGGGTGCATTGATCTGTCTGTGCCACTGATAGAAATGTTGAAGAGCACGGGTTCCAAGATGGACTCCTGTGGAGCACCACTTGTCACTGGCCCGTGCCTGGACCTGGGAGCCATTAACCACAACCCTCTGGCTGTGGCCATCCAACAAATTCCTTATTCTTAATAATCCACCCTTCAAATCCATTTCTCTCCAACTTAGAGGCAAGAATGCGATAAGTTCACGAGATTTCAAGAAGCTGTCCTTTGGAAGGCACATGCAGTGAGATATCTATTTAGTACAATTAAGCTTACATAAAATTTCTAGAAGAATTGTCAAATGCTGTTCAATTCCTGCTGCATGGAAGTAAAAATGTGAAAACTCAGTCTGGGAGCTTGTGTTACATCTGCATTTACTCAGACGACTGTATTTAGCAGACAGTCACAGTTGCTCTGGGCCAAAGTCCCACAGAGAGACAGAGGGGATCAGTTCTACTCATAACACACTAATTATTTCAACTTTCATTTTAGTATGCTTAATTTATTACGTGTCAGTATGTAAATGTGATGATGTTGCCTTCCTTATATAACATATTACCCACATTTGTAACTTCTGCTCTAATAAATCATCATTTTTTTTTAAATTGTAGTTGTTTGTGGTAGATTGGTTTTCTCCCAGTGCTCAGTATTGGTGATTCATGCAGGCATCTGAGCCACACTCTGCCAGGTTCTGCCTGTTGCCTCTGCTCACACGCTCAGATGCTGAGTGCCTTCTGAGGATCACGAATGACTACTCAGAATTGTGTTACCCAATTGCTTTCACCTAAAAAGCAACCACCCCCTCCCCCAAACACCTTATTTTCTTGACAAAAGTATTTTCTATTGTGGAAAACATTCATGCCTCTTTTAAGTTTCCTTTTTACTGTTTTATGCAGTTACAATGAAGACCAGCTGATATATTTGTGAAATGTTTCAGTTGCACCAACAGGACCAAGGCTGTGTTTTCTTCTCTATGCACTAGTTGCATAGAAAAGAAAAGATGGCAGAATTTCCCCTTGTCAGTCAGTTCTGCACTGTAATTCCCCTTTTCCCATATGTCAGACCTTTCAATTAGGGATGAGAAGGTATTTGGGTTTGTTAATCTATGGGAGGAACTATGGATTTCCTTCAGTGTAAATGCCTAGGATGTTATCAATGTGTTTTCCCACTAGTCAGTATAAACAAATAAATGCACCAGTTCTGTAATTGCTTCTGGTGTTCACCTGTATGGATTGGAATTGATAAAGCAGATCTTTGTCTCCAAGTCCTCATTCAGTGTAAAACATTGTTAGTGAATAAAACATGCTTACTTAAAACAGACACCATTGTATCTTCTGTAGCAAAATGTAATTTGTGTTTCTTTTTTCTTTGTGAGTTGGGATTACTTAGAACCTGTTCCTAGGACATTTAGTACTAATCCCTCACTTTTCCTTCCTGTGCACTTAACTCAGGCCCCATCTTCCCACACGCTGAACTGTTCTGTAAAATTGTGTTGGTTGTCTTGAAGGCTAATCTTTAAGCATACATAAAACTCCTTCAAGTTCTAGCTTAGTGAATTAAATTTCAGTTGCTTTCAGGAATAAATGTTTTACCTAACAGGAAAGTTAAGGGATGTGTATATAATTTGAGCATTTAATAGGCAAAAAGCATTCAAATAGTTGAGCACGTAACATTCCTAGTATAATTTCAAATCTTGGAGCTTGGTTTATGCTGTTACAGTGAGGTGGTGTTTCAAGAGGTGATGGGGTTTAACTTGTGTGGGTTACTGCTTTTCTGGTATGTATATATTTTGTGGAAGAGCTGCTTACTGTTCTTATGACACTTGTAAGCCCTGTGAAATAGGGCCCTGTGACTGCAGGCCTTGCCATCAGCTCTAACTTCACGTACAGAGCTAAGGAAGGTGCCCCCAGCAGAGCCAGTGCCATCAGCCGTGGGGAGCTGCCTGATGTGGAGCTTTGTTATCTGAGCTGTGTGGGCAGTTGTACCTCATGCTGAATTCCAAAGTCAAAATCCCAGTCGCGGTCCTACAGACGGTTTCTGAAGCAGAAATACTTTACACCTATTATTGTACCAGTCCACCTGCTTGACGTGTATTAAGAATACATTTATAGTATATGGCCTTTTTCATATGCTGGACATAGAACACTGTGTAGGAATGCCTCCCCATTTATTTCACCTTCTGTAAAACCATGTAACTCCCAAAAGCATTCGTTGCTAACCTGTGTGTACGTACAACTTGAAGTAAGAGCTGGCAGAGGGCATTCAGAGCAAGCAGCTTCCAGGTGAAGGAAATTCTGAAATTTGCAATGCAGGTGACAGTTTGCCACCACTGGTTGGATATGAGATGCTGCTCGATTGCTCTGATTTGTGCCAGGGCCCAAGTATGCTGTCACGACACCTGCATAACTGGTATTTCAGCACTTCACAAGGCAGATTCATGACAGTCTCTGCACTTAGCTTTTCATTGTGCTCTCCTTGGTTAATATACAAACTGTTCAGCTACTGGCATGGTTCTTTTTGCTTAGTCACTGCAGCCAGTCATTGCTGAAGGGATCAAGTTGCAACAAACAGTAGAAAACATGAGCAGATACCCATTTTCTCCAGCACTTGAGCAGAAAAGGTGTGCCTGCCTGTTTGCGGAATCTCTGCTCCTATGACACGTCTTCCCTTTCACAATGAGTATTCTGGTTTTCTCTGAAAAGGTCTTACCCTGAAGGGTGCAACTTCACGCACCTGTGTTTAACATTTAGCTTTGTCCTGTGTTACTGCCAGTTTTGTTTGTTTATTCTTTAGGATGCATCAAATTGTATGGTACAGATATGCTCTCAAAATGGTGTTCAGTTCCTCGGGGTATGTTGCTGACTAACATAAGAGCTGGTGTTGGACCCCCTGAATGGTAGGCTGTAGCCCTGCCTTGCTCCACTACAGCGTGGTCTTCCAGAGCAGCTTTTGCCCCGTGTCAGCAGTTACTCAGGCTTTTTTCATGCTTAACTCTGTTTTTGCAACAGTAAAATATATGTGAATGTGTTCTATGTTTCATATCCTGTTAGAAAAATAATATGCCATAGAGCTGCATTTAGAGGCATTCAGCTTGAACAGTCCAGTCATGGAATAGAAGAAAGACACTGGAGAAAGACTATGAAACTTGTAACGCTGGGGGCGATTAACCATCAATTTCAATCGCAGTAAATAAAAAGAAACACCACCCTTAAGCAAGACTTTTATTTTCTGCCTTAAACAGATAAAAGCACATTTCTGATTTGAGGTAAACCATTAGAAGTAGTTTGCAGAGAGTATAAATGTCTCTAAAAATAAAACAGCAACACAAAGGTCATGACAAGACTTTCTTTTGTCTCTAGACCTTCATTAGGTAGTTCACACAGTAACTCTATACAAGCAATCTGGCTCAAACAACTGCACTGCTCGTTTGAAAGCCCAGTGTAACTGACAGGGAAAAAGGCCATGGCTGTGTTAGGACTGATGGAGAGTCATTGGTTGTCACTGCAGTTGGTCTCAGGCACTTGAACACCTAGTGTCACCTTGTTTATGAAAGCTCCTGCTGCACAGTACACTCCACTTCTGAACAATTTTGCCTACTTTGTAGCGTCCCGCTCAGGACTGTGCTCACCATTCTGGTCAGGTTCCCAATTGGAAACAACTCAGCAGAAGAGTGAAACCAGAACAACCAAATAATGGGAACTGTAGCCCTCGGCACCCCCACAGAACCACCTGGACAAGGCAGCACACTGACAAGAGATCAGCAAATGATCAGTTACCTCCTTAAAATTTCTGATAAATTTTGAAGATATATTTGGGATGATGAAGGAGCACACTGACATTTTTCCTTAGTCAAATCCACGCATCCAGCCCATTTTGGTAGGAGACTGGATGACATGGATGGAGCAAACCCAGTAATTATGGACAGATTAAGAGAGCGAACAAGATAAAAGCAATCAGTGGTCAGGTCTATTGCTGGTTGTGCATGAGATTCTGCCATTTCTTTTAGCAGCAACATTCCAAAGCAACAAAAGCCTTGACATGGAAATGGCTTACACTACATTATTTATTTTGTACAGGGAACTTGCATGAGTTACCTTGACCACAATCGTTTTTCTGCTAGTTAAATTGCTTGTACAGAGCACTTGTTAATCGTGACACACCAGCAAGTCTTCCTTTAGGCCTAAAAATCATCACTAGCTGCTTTTCCTGGTTTAATTTCATTTTATTACAATTCTTTGAAGAGCTTTTCTAAGAAGAGAAGTGAACAAATGATAGTCCTGCCAAGTCATGCTTCACAGTGAACCTAGTTTTTAAGGATGTTCAGTTACAGTCAGTATGTAAGTAACACTTAAGAGGTGCTTCAGAAGTAAACAAAGAATATTAATGCTTCTGTGTGACTGAATACATCAAGTATTCTTCAGTCCTTATTTATTTTCTAAGTATCTAAAAGTGATTTAACTTCTCAAAAACTCTTGGCTTTTTTAAAGCAGTTGTTGTTTCATCTGTAAGGCCCCGTTTAGCTCCTAAAAAGCCAAATTATTTGACATAATGCTGAATTATATTGCACCACAAATGAGTATGTGGACAAAGAGTCCCTTTTCTAAAGGGATTGCAGTGCAAGGCCCAGATCCTGCAGAAGCCAACACTAATCAAATTCAGTGGAATCTGTTGCACACAGATTCTGTGACTTAACTCTCATGCTTGTGCCTACAGTGTTAGGTTGTTAGTGAAAAGGTCTGGATTTCAACCCTAATAGTGAAAGAATAAAAAGAGTAATAGTCCTTTATTGCCAAAGTTGCAGTCTACTTTTGCACAGACATTTTTGGTGCATACTTCCTATTATGCACTTTCAGAGGAAGACAGATATTAGACCTGTACTGGTTTACTGCTGAATTTGAAGAGGAAGCTTAGGAGAAACATAATTCATTGTAATTCTGGACCTTTTGTAAGCATTGTTGCTGCTGCAACTTGTGAAACAGAAGTGGAATGTTACAAATGATCCTTTAAGATACAAAAATAGACTGTTCCTCACTGCATTCTACTTTTTCTTTGCATCTTGGGTATCCTTTTCTTCTTCATCAGAGTATACAGTGGGTTCCTCCCCGTCCTTCAGCAGCTTACCAACGTGGTGATACTTAACTGAAAATTGGAAACAAATGAAAGTAAAAATCAAGTCATTATTCTGCCATGAAAATGTACTTTTTGTAACTCATATTGGTTTCCTAATTTAACAAAACGTGCCTAATTGTAAAGAAACACGTCTGAACTCCGTGTTGCAAACGGGAGAGAAGAAAAAGAAAAAAGCCAAAATAAAGTACCTGAACTGCTGTTAATGTTCTAACAAGTGAAGGGAACACCAAAGTTTATGAGATACAGCTGTCCTGTTGGCTGAGCCAGAAGATGGATGAATGTAGGCGTGTAAAAGGAGGGAACTCATCCAGCTAAAGAAGCAGAATCGTGGATTGCATTATTGCTCTCGCCATGCCAAAGCTAGTTTTTGAACTAATGGTGTTGTTGGAATATTTTAGTTACACAAATATATACGTACAGGTAACTTGAACTTCTTGTGATGTATGCTGCCTGTACCCAGCAGGGCTGC